GTTCCTTTTCAATTGATTTTTCTCTTAATCCATCATCAATTTTTTCCTTCCGGATAATGTAATTTGAGTTCTTTGGTTTGTTTTTGAAAACTAACCGTGCAACGGTTCTTGCTGAACTGATCTTAAGGAATGAGCGCTTCTTCATCTAGCTAATGTTACATAACTCCGTATGGACCAGACAAATGAGGCAACAGAACTAATGTTTTTCGCCTTATTACTGGCAAAATTAGTCAAAAAAATTGAGAAATTTTGTTGATCATTGCTTATTATTTTTAATATAAATATGGAATAAAATACACTCATAACAAGTAAGAACAAAAAAGTGCACCTTATAATTCGGTGTTTTTTAATTTATTTACTGTTGGACAGTCGGATTAGTCCATTAGATTTATGGTTGAACCTTGAACTAATTCCCACAAAAGCTCACTCTTCAAAAATATCTTTCCTTTCATGTACAGAACAACATATTAAAAGTCCCACATGATCTGAGGCCGACAACTTCGTAAAATAATGTTTTCTGTGAAATTATGACATGAAAACGAGGCTATAAACAAGAATTACAAAATAACACTACTTTGACCTAACGAATATTATATTTGATTATATAAATCTGCAGCGTGGCTATTAAAAATCATGTTAAGTCTTCAAAGACCGAAAAAAAGGAATCCTTTAGGTTACATAGTAATACAAGAATGTCACTAAATTTACATATGGTTGATATAATGTACTTTGATTTACAAAGACATTTCTGTCATTTCATACTTTTGTTAATCATCTTCAGCGTCAACACCACTGTTAGTGCAACCAGTACCTCTACATTGACCACATGCCATTGTGCAGTGAAGTCCATTTTTACGACAGGTACATCTTGCAGTTGAACAATTTGTGGTACAGTTGCATCGTATCATATTAAGCAAGTTTTTAGGAGCTGCTGGAAGAGAAGATCAGTTGTTCTAGGTACGATAACATAACCACACATTTTCCAACCAAATGCATCAATCCTTCGTCTTGACTCTGCCATTGCTTAACTTGAAGAAAGACTCTCAATGAATGATACTTGGCTGCACTAGATGTTGGGGGAAGACTTTGGGGCTTTACCATTCGGCCTTTAGTGCACACCTTCTCGTAGTACTTCCTGTGGCGCAAACTGTCTAGAGTCTCGCCTTTTTTCCTCCATGCATTCAGACCAAGGCATTTTCACCACTCTGGATAACCGTATTCATGCTGACGTTTGAAACTTCAAATGCTGATGCTTGTTCACGGAAATAGTTTGAATCTGTGAATTTCTTAATAGGTGCCGATTTTCCAAGGCCAAAGGGCCGGGATGTCGTGTCACAACCAGCAATAGCATGAAGAAACAAAATGTTTTTACACAGAGATTCACCCAGCTCTGATCTCACTATTCTCATGTTCCATACTCTTTCCGTTCTACGTTTAGTTGTTTTCTTTGGTTCTGGACGAAAATAAAGACCACATCCCTCATCCACTTTGACGTAATAGCACATTAAAACAATCTGTATCATCTCCAACAAGAACGGTAGGAGATTTCATGGCACTAGAAACAGCTGACTTTACTATGAGAAGATCAGCGTCGCCATCGGCTTGGAGTGTAGTACAGCCATTCAAATCCAGATAATTTCGAAGAGTAGTTATAAGTCGTTTCTTATTGTGTATATTAGCCAGGAATACATCTCTTTTCATTGTTATCTTCATATCAGCTTTGAATGACACTGTTGCCCCAACCTTTCCGGATGATCTTCGTTGTTGCGCCATGTTCTTAGTAGATGGGTTATCATAACCGTCAAAAACAATACAACTTCCTGCCCCATATTTCTGTTTTACATAGTGGCAGTACTTCTGGCACAATTCTTGAAAGGTTGCTTTCTTTCGCCATGGTACGCGATGAAACCGGTATAATTTCTATTTGACCAGTTGATAAGATGTCTTGATCTTTAACCTTTTTGCTTGGAACTGGGCTTATTTTATTTGTACCTGGTGTTACCATTGCAATTATCCCTGTACCGTGAAATGTACCATGCCCGTCGATAGTTCGGAGATTATGGTCGAGGTTATCCAAACCATACTGTGTAAACTCACCATTATAATCCGGGATTGTAGTCCCTTGGCTTACGGCTGCATTTCGTTTGAATGAGAGGACTTCTTCATATGACGAACAGAAACCAGCATGATTAAGCGTGTCTATTAAAAAACGCGAGGCAAAGCTGTGATGGAGTAAAACACCCATTCCAATCTGTAAAGGTGCAAGCAAAGCACGAGGACGAGTTGACTGCATAATCGCTTGACCAACAAAAGCTACTTTCGGAGATGTGTCTTTTCCTGAAAACAGTTGATTAAGAAGAAGCTGAAGTGTTGGGGGTAAGAATTCAAGATTTTTGTCAATGTCACTGTCGATTAACGGATTTATGTCGTTTGGTGTTTCAATACATTTTATGTCACTACGTAAAAAGTTTTGCTGCTGCTCTTATAACATTCAGTTTCTCATCTTCAGGATTGGAATTTTCTTTCTGCTGCATGTGGAATTCTTCTAGTATAGACGCAGCAGTTCTTCTGAATGTCACAATACTTGGCATGCCTGGTTGATTTGTGATAATCACATAATCCCTAAAGTGCTCTAGAATCCTTTCTTTCATGTTGCGGTTGCTATATGCGGTACTATCAGTCGCGGACTCCGCCAGATACTCCTCCATCTTTTTTATTAAATCTAATACAGTAACTTGGTCATCAATGTTTTCTAAATATTGAGTTACCTTTAAAAATGCATCGTTGGCAGAATTGTTGATTGGTCGTCCTGATTTGCGCTTTTTGAGCGATGGTTGGTCATTAAATGGCGCTGGAATTCTCATTTTTGTCCTGAAGTTTGTACTGCATAGATGATGATACATTGCGTCAGCTGCCGGTAGGTCATGCACATTTTGGATCCTTGATTTTACGGACTCGGCCCACTCATCGCCTCTCACTTTGCAAGCATTCAAGATAGTGTCTTGAATGTCCATAGTCCTAACAGTGCAAACAACACGCCCCCTTTTGCGCTCTTGTTCTTGATTAATTTCATTTCCGCAAAACAAGCAATCTCTTCTGAAATCGAACTGAACTGAATTTTGTGAGCGAAGGGTTCTTGGTACGGGATGACGCTCTTCCTTCTGACGTAGCGATTTAGAAATATATGATGAATTTGTATATCGTTTCCTAAATGCTATGTGAACGCTGTCACCTTCACGGACGTCAACTGTATCGCCTCTTTCTTTACTAGCTCGGTTTATACCATCTATCCCTTTAGATGTTAGAGCCACGCCGTTGTTCACAATTGATTCTTTACATATTGCACAGTACTGACGCAGAATTTGATCCATCCTATAATGATTCACAAGCAAAATAGTGTTCGACAACAGAAAAAAGCCTGGTTTTATTTACTGGTTTATGCGATATTTTACAGCCCTAATATATCTATGGCTTTAAACGCGGTATTATAATGCAAACATTGTATTTGGTAATTAGGTCGCTAATTATAGCCCCCTCTTGTTAGTTTTAACTTAAATTATTGTGACCCACAATATTGACGTATTCATTCATTGTAAAATGTAATAGCAATTAAATAATACATTGATTAACTCATTGTCTTCAAGTTATCTATTTTGCTTACTTTGAGGAGAACAAAGAAACGTCACATTTTGATGCCAATAATGAGCCAAAGCTTCAATTTGAAGTATTGAAAGGGAAGTCATATTAAATATAATAAATATCCATCTAAACACGTGCAAAATATACGTAAACAAACGTACTTCAAACACGCGTTTGCCAAAAAAAACTACCAAGTCAGCGAAATCTAGTACCCAAAACAGCAAGATCAGCATTTTTGACGTAAATAAAGGACAAAATATTAATTAATTTACAAAATATCATTATCCACATGTTTTTAATCTATAATATTTATATTTGTGCTTTACTAAGTGTTCTAAAAGGTTAAAATCTAGAACATTAATTTTTGAGCCTCGTTTCCATGTCGCTCAGATTTTCAATCCAAATGCCTCAAATAAAACGTAATTTACACGATGTTGCCGTGCTAGGATTTTGTGGGATTTTCGATATGTTGTAAAGGGATATCAAATATACCAAAATCAGTTGGAATTTCTTTTGTGGAAATTTTTTCAAGCTTAGAGTGTTTTTGGTCGTAGATTGACTGGACTAGATGTCTTGCTATCGTATTTACAAAGTGCATTTTCAAAACAAATTTTTACAAAAACAAATTTTTCATACTGCATACAACAATTCATCGCATAAAAACAACAATCAACACAGACTGAGGAGAATTAAACATATGCTACAATTATTGTCAAAATTTTTATTACAGATTGTCGTCTGTTAACCAAACAATACCCAAGTTAGACGTATATAAACAAGTCGCCATGGGAACATTACCTAATTATAATTACTAAGTCATTAACTATAAAAATAATAAGAGAGCGTTATAGCTATAGTGGTAAATTTGAACATTTAAGACAAGATTAGCTTTATTAATGCAAAGAGCTTCTTTTATTTCAAGAGCAAAATTTGAGTAATTGGTGTCAATGATTTTAAATAAAGAGACTGAAAATTTAATTTTAAAAGAAGAGGCCTGTATAGTATGTCCCATGTTGAACAAAACTTCTTTTTTTTAAACTTTTCTGGCTACTTAAATCCTTAGCTTGATTACCAAAGGATTCTTGTTAGATGGACCCAGAATAGTTCTGGGTCGAACTTACAAATGCTCTACGTCACCATTGTAGTTTCAAACGTTGAATTTTACAAAAGCCAAACGCATTTGAAACAAAAGAAAATTTAGAATTTTTTCTTATCATTTCTATTAACTTTAATGCATTCAACAGATGTAACATGCGTTGACATTTAAAATGAGACTTGAGTTATTGCACTAGCCAATTCAATTCCTGTCGTAAAACATTAAATGTACCCTTACAAATATGTTATGTATTTTGATTTTGTAGGTTTAAAGACTGGATTTCAAATTTGTTTTCCGTGAACGGCGATAAAGTCCTTGGTTTTCTTGGAGTAAAGTGCTTATACGAGTTGCAAGACAAAGATTTCATGAGCTCAGCTTGCACAGAGTTAAAGAATTCTTCTGAAATATTGGAAATTAATTACGTTTCTTTTACGCCTGTTGATTCAAACGCATTGTTTGAATTTCTATCCGAATGTGAACACATAACACGTGTTTCTTTTGAAGATTGCAAGTTTCTTGATAATCATAGCTTTCTTCCTTTAAAAAACTATTTGTCAAGTGGGAGAGCGGAAATTTTGATTAACTTAAAGTTTTGTCGTTGTACTTTAGGCAATCTTTTCTGTGAGCATTTTATTGAAGCTTTAAAGAGTGAGAATTGCAAACTAACTAAGTTGGAAATTTTAGTTACCGAAATAGGTGATGAAGGTGCTGAATGCTTTCGTAAAGCTTTGATAAGTCAGAGTTGTAAACTTACTGAATTAACTCTTCGGTGTGTCAGTATAGGTGATAAAGGTGCAGAATATCTTAGTAAAGCTTTGAAAAGTGAGAATTGCAAACTTACTACATTGGATCTTAGTAATAACATTATAGAAGGTAAGGGTGCGAATTTTCTTAGTGAAGCTTTGAAATGTGAGAGTTGTAAACTTACTGAATTGAAGCTTGATTATAATCACAAAATAGAAGGTGAAGGTGCGAAATCTGTTATTGAAGCTTTAAAAAGTGAGACATGTAAACTTACTAAATTGCATCTTAATTCTAGCAATATAGGTGACGAAGGTGCAAAATATTTTAGTGAAGCATTAAAAAGTGAGAGCTGTAAGCTTACTGAATTGCATCTTCATTTTAACAACATAGGAGATAAAGGTGCTAAAGATCTTAGTGAAGCTTTGAAAAGTGATAATTGTAAACTTAGTGAATTGTATCTTCATACAAACCAAATAGGTGATGAAGGTGCAAAATATCTTAGTGAAGCATTGAAAAGTGAGAATTGTAAACTTACTAATTTAAGTCCTGATAGCAACCAAATAGGTGATGAAGGTGCAAAATCTCTTAGTGAAGCTTTAAAAAGTTATAATTGTAAACTTACTAGTTTAAATCTTGAAAGCAACCAAATAGGTGATGAAGGTGCAAAATATCTTAGTGAAGCTTTAAAAAGTTATAATTGTAAACTTACTAGTTTAAATCTTAATAGCAACCAAATAGGTGATGAAGGTGCAAAATATCTTAGTGAAGCTTTAAAAAGTTATAATTGTAAACTTACTAGTTTAAATCTTAATAGGAACCAAATAGGTGATGAAGGTGCAAAATATCTTAGTGAAGCATCGAAAAGTGAAAATTGGAAACTTTCTCAACTGTATATAAAGGGTTACAATATACGAAAGAATGTTTGAAAGAATGGGTTGCAATATATGTGATTAAGGTGCTAAATATCTTAGTAAAGCATTCAAAGTTTGAATTGCAAACTTATCAAATAGGATATTGGGAATAACAAAATAGCAGCTAAAGGTGTGATCTATCTTGGTGAAGCTTTGAAAAAAAAGATGTAAGCTTACTGAAATAAATATCCTTATAAACAATATGGGTGATGAAGGTGCAAATTATCTTAGTGAAGTTTTGAAAAGTGAGAATTGTAAACTTACTGAATTGTCACTTGATTATAACAATATATGTGATGAAGGTGCGAAATCTCTTAGTGATACTTTAAAAGTGAGAATTGTAAGCTCACTAAATTGAGCATTGATAGTAACAGTATAGGTGTTGAAGGTGATAAATATCTTAGTAACACAATATATAGTGAGAATATATCTTCCAACAAGTGATTTTTATTTTTAGTTATATTTCCTACAAACGATTTTTCTCTTTGCATGATACATGATAAAAATAGTAAAAATGTATGTATTTTTCTGCTTCAAAATTTGTAATTTAAACATTTATATGTTTTATCAGCAAAATAAGTAAAAAACTGTTCACAGTGAACAATATATCTTTCTTGTGACTTTCCTTTTAAAAAGTGTTTCTTGATTTAAAAACTATTTTCAAATCTCTTTACATAGCTATGTTAATTCATTTGCAGAGAAAAAGTATAGTTTGATTAGTAATCATGTATTGTTCATTTATTTATTTTGCTCTTTTTGCATTGTTTACTGCAAAGAGTAAAGACTTCAACAAACAATGTTGGAATTAAATCATGTTATAATCACTTTGTAATTATCAAAAGAAATTTCAATAAACATGAACACATTGAATGTTTTCCTTAAAAATTCCTTTCCAGTCAACAGATTTATGAATAAATTCCGTCTAATAGTCATAAAAACGCAATATTTTTTTAGTTAAAAATAAACAAGATATATAATTGAGGTAGTCTTCTGAAGAATTCGTTATTGCATGAACGTAAGAAAACGTGCTCCATATGTGAACATTTTTATACAGACATTGTAATTAACTTTTTTTTCTGAACTTATCCTATATACTTATCCTATAAACTGTCGTATGTATTCTTTGTAAATGACAAAACTTAAATTAAATGAAGATATAATCTTCGCACTTTGCTGGACAATTTAAGGAATTGTCTCATAAACCTAAAAATTCAGGTGACTCAACGGGATTCGAAGCCATGACCTCTGCGTTGCCAGTGCAGTGCTCTGACCAACTAAACTATAAAGTCACAGAGTGGTGAGCAGGTCAATTTTGTTGGGCTCATGTTTTCTCGTGAAAGGAATGTCATATGAAAGAATGTTTTTATGCAGTGCGGTGTTTGAGGTAAAATGAATATATGATCTTCGTACTTTGCTGGACAACTTCGGCAATTGTCTCATAAACCTGAACAATTCAGGTGACTCAACGGGATTCGAAGCCATGAACTCTGCCTTGCCAGTGCAGTGCTCTGACCAACTAAACTATAAAGTCACAGAGTGGTGAGCAGGTCAATTTTGTTGGGCTCATGTTTTCTCGTGAAAGGAATGTCATATGAAAGAATGTTTTTATGCAGTGCGGTGTTTGAGGTAAAATGAATATATGATCTTCGTACTTTGCTGGACAACTTCAGCAATTGTCTCATAAACCTGAACAATTCAGGTGACTCAACGGGATTCGAAGCCATGAACTCTGCCTTGCCAGTGCAGTGCTCTGACCAACTAAACTATAAAGTCACAGAGTGGTGAGCAGGTCAATTTTGTTGGGCTCATGTTTTCTCGTGAAAGGAATGTCATATGAAAGAATGTTTTTATGCAGTGCGGTGTTTGAGGTAAAATGAATATATGATCTTCGTACTTTGCTGGACAACTTCAGCAATTGTCTCATAAACCTGAACAATTCAGGTGACTCAACGCGATTCGAACCAATTACCTCTGCGGTGCCGGTGCAGTGCTCTAACCAACTGAGCAATGAAGTCACACAGTAGTAAGCAGGTCAATTTTGTTGGGCTCATGTTTTCTCGTGAAGGGAATGTCATATGAAAGAATGTTTTTATGCAGTGCGGTGTTTGAAATTAAAGGACGATATGATCTTCGCACTTTGCTGGACAATTTAACCAATTTTCTCATGAACCTGAAAATTTCAGGTGACTCAACGGGATTCAAATCCATGACTTTTGCGATGCCGGTGCAGTGCTCTGACCAACTAAGCTATGAATTCACACTGTGGTGAGCAGGTCAATTTTGTTGAACTCACGTTTTCTCGTGAAAGGAATGTCATATAAAAGAATGTTTTTATGCAGTGCGGTGTTTAAGATTAAATCAAGATATGATCTCTGCACTTTGCTGCACAATTTTAGGAAATTGTCTCATGAACCTAAAAAATTCAGGTGACTCAACGGGACTCGAACGAATGACTTCTGCGATGATGGTGCAGTGCTCTGAGTAATAGAGCTATGAATTCACACAGTGGTGAGCAGGTCATAGGCTCGAATCTCTATATCTACTTGACATTTACAATCATCGCACCACTTGACATTGGAATTTCGAAAGCATTTGATCTTCAAACGTCTTTCACTTGTTTTGACAAGATGATTTCAAACTTCCAAGAAACTTCACTTATAAAGAACATTGAATCAAGATGTTTGAGACAATACCAAAATGAGACTTGGGATAATATTTATGTGGTATTCTTCAATGTCGTTTTTCCCTTACTTTGGAGTATGATCTAAGGACAGTCTGTGAGCCATCGACTTGAAAACTTTGATAAGTTCTTGTCAGAAAGAAGCAGTGAAGTCAGAAAGGTTGCATCTAGTTCTTGGGCATTTATTTATTACATCATTTATTTGATTGGATGTTTGATCGGTTTGTTGATATTTGTTACAGTACTCTTTCCAGGCATGTTTCCCATTGATTATACTTGTTCTTGGCGTCCAACAACAAACGTAAAATCTTCGTTCAACAGTATAATTCTTTTTCCATATAACGAGACATTCGTTAATTGTGAAATTCGCGATGGTAACAGTGAATGGTGGAATAAATTTGTTGTAGCTGTTGATGTTTTATCGATAATAATGACGATATGTCGACTAATATACCTATTAAATGAGGCCATTAATGACAATTTTTTCACATCAGATAAGGAGTTTTTCACGGAATACCTCTTTTCAAAACGTGCAGAATTTCGAAATTGGATAAAAGAAATAAAAAATGAGTTTCACTTCAACAAATTATTTGATATCCCCGATAACGGATGCAATGCACAAATGTCTATGCAAAATCTTGAAGATATTTATGTCAACGTCATAATGCAAGCAGAAAGACAATTAAGTAAAGCTGACCCAGAAACGCATGAAAGGCACGAGATCCTTCATTGTCATTTCAAACTTAATGAAAATGCGAAAAACCTAAAAAGAGCAACTGACATGTTTAAGTCAAATCCAAAAAGCAAGTTGCATCCTATTTCCATTTTAGTCATCGGAAGGCCAGGAATTGGTAAAACTATGTTGACAAAAAAACTTATTCATGAATGGGAGACAAATGAAGACGAATTTTGGCGAGATAAGCTGGTCATTTTATTGCAATGTCGTTCTATTGAAAAGAAAGACATTACTTTTGAAGAAATGATAAGAAATTGCGTTGGACTTTCATTTGAACAGTTTTCAGGTATTTACGAATTTATAATGTTAAATCCTGAAAGAACTGTTCTTGTCGTCGACGGTCTTGATGAATTGCCTTTAGATAATGGAGTTCTTCAAACTGACAACTCAGGGTCCCCTAATGAAAATGGGCCGTCATTAGACACTTAAGTAAGCTTGTTGAAGGTCAACTATTGCCTTATGTTACTGTTCTTATTACATCACGACCCACAGCTGAACGTAAATTTATAGATATGAAATTCACGAGAACATTTGAAATCTTGGGCTTTTTTGAGGATGAGATAAAAGTATTCGAAGAAAAGTTTTGTCATGAAGATAGGAATATCGCTGACCGTATTCTAAATAAGATTGAAAATTCTCTTGAACTTCGCAGCTTTTGTTATATCCCTATTAACACTAAAATTGTTTGTATGACCTTAAAGGAATGTTTTGCAAATGATGAAAACTGTAGTCCAAAGACTATGACTGAATTGTACAATAGAGCAATTAAAGTTTTACTATGGCAAAGCCATCCACTTCTTAGGGGCAAGACTACACCAAAGGATTACTTAACAATTCCTTTACCATCCAAGCTTGATAATGATCTACAAGAAATAAAACATGTTGCCATGGAAGGGCTTAATAACGGACACCTAATTTTTGAAAGAGACACTAACAGTAACTTTGAAAATCTGGAAAACTCTGGCATTTTCAATAAGATTTGTGACAAAAAAAATCTTTACTGTTTTCTTCATTTGACTCTTCAAGAGTTTCTTGCAGCGTTGTATATTGTTGACGATTGGCAAAACATTGGAAAGTTTTTGGATGATCAGGCTAAAGATCCTAAATGGCATTTGGTAATCGAATTTGCTGCTGGTTTGGTTGGAAATATAAAGAAAAAGACGGGAAAAGATATCAGCTTTATTCTAAAGAGGTATTAAATTTATGATCATTGAAAATGTTTTATTATAGCTTCATATAGTATGTGACTATATGTATTTTTTTCCAAATTAATTCATCATCACCATAATCTTAACATTAACTTTGTCAGCCAGATAAGCAAATATTAAAGTAACGCCTCCTCAATAAGTTTAAACTAAAACGTGGCGTTGAGTTTGGAGGAAATAATTTCGTGATCGTTAGTTGTATACTTCATAACATAGTTTTTACATGTTTGTGGATGTAGATTACTGTAGATCACTGATCACCTTTTTCTCTACCTTCATTCGAGTATTTGGATGCACTGGGAAGTTATTTAAACAGCAAATAAAAGACTTCAGCATAATGCACACTAAGATACTAAAATATCAAGCCCATAAAATAAACCTTTTGGTCAAACATTAACTGAAAAAATCCCCTAAAAAAGAAATCTAGTGGATTACGTATCAATAGTGTAGGACTATTTTCGGAATTGTCTCAAAACGAACAGAAGCAACAAGCGAAACGGATGTAAACTATAACTTAAAAGAGTAATTATAAAGTTAAGGTTTTTACATTGATTTTCATCAAAAAATTGCATGCCGAATCCCAAATACACACATACATTTTGTGTATTTGGGAGTGGGAAACTGAGAAATTTTCGAAAAATCAGTCAATTTTGGTAAATCTCAGCGGCCAAAGACGAAATAGAAAGGTTTGTAAAATTGTTCTTTTTTTCAAGATAAGACATGAAGACATGTCTTATTTGTAAACATAGAATAGTTAATTTGATTAAGTATTCAATTATTTAAGTTAATAGCTTAAAACCATATTAAAGATCTTATCATACAAGACCAAAAGATGCAGATAACACGTATGCTGCAAAGTCACTAGTAAAAGACTGTTTAGCCATATTTAAGACAAGAAGTTGTTTTAGATGAGACATAGACGAAATACTACCACTGATTTCATCAATGCAAATTCTAGTTTCTTACTGATGTATTTGTACACAATCAGCTTTCTTCATAAAAATTTAAAAATAAAGAAGAAACTTGAATTGGAGAAGAAAATTGAGGAGTCATGTTAAAATTATACCCATGCGAATAGAGGAGTCAGCTTGCAACGCTCCAAGACCCTGACCACACTAATAGCTACGTTTTCCTTTGAAAACGCATACTTTTTGATGCGTTTTTGCCTTACGTCCACACTGAAACGCTCAAAAAACGGATAAACTGCCAAATGAAAACGCATCTATTCGAAAACGCTCTCCAAAGTGGAGCAATTTGAAAACGCGTGCGTTTCGTTTTAATGTGTACGGTCAAAATGGAGTCTTTTAAAAACGATGACGTCAATGACTTCCTGAAATGGCGCAAATATCACTTGATATCACAATAGCCGTGGGCGTTTTATGTATAAGCATGCGCAGTTTAATATACCACACATTCATCGTTTTCAAGTGTTTTAGTGTGGGCAACCGAAAACGCTAAGAAAACACTGCTGTGAATGCAATGAAAACGATGCGTTTTTATTTCAATAAAATCGTATCGCTTTGAAAACGCATTAGTGTGGACAGGGTCTAAGTGATAAGCATTCTCCTAAATAGTGCAATTAGATTTTTACACCAAAGTAATGATGTTTTTCTCTGTAATGTGTTGCTGGAGAGCGAGGACTCCTTTGTATCGTTATCCATTTAATAACTAAAAAAAAATTACCATAAAATTTCAACTTACTGGTGAATCGGATTTAATTTTTAAATTCTATTTCGTAATTGGACACATCACTACGGAGTCATTTGAGATGTTCAAACGAGTTATAACATAATCCCAAATATACTGACAAGTGTTACATGTAACATTACTAAAGCGAAAGTTTATGGTTAGCCTTTTGAAGCATTTAATAATGGGAAGCTAAATTCAGCTTTTGATAAAAATGGCTTATTCTAGTATATTTGAAAAGTTGAAGCATTTGTCCACCCAGTTGCTTCAAAAATTGCATCATTTGATAAAGGTGCTTCACTTGCATCTGGCGAGGATGCTTCTTTTATGCTCTAGCAAGAAAATTTATTCATTTCAGCCAGCTTTAGAACTGCTTTAGGCCATCTCGAGATCGTGTCCGTTCTTACAACATCCATTAATCACTGTTTTGAATTACGTCTAATAGATTTTGTTGTTCAGTGTACACAGAAAGGAGTTTAAATTCACTAAGCGCTGCAGCTGGATCATATTTTCATTTAAAATGTTCAGGCCTAAACGTTTTTAACAAGTGTTGGAAGAGAAACATTTACTTCTTATGCTCGAGAAACGTATGCACTTATGTGATAATGCTTTAAGAATTAGGCATATATTAGTCAACATCATGGTCAGTTGAAGTGTTAGTCTTTTCATTGCCAAAGTATTATTTTGCAGGAAAGTTTTTCAATAGTATCACTCTACTTCCCAAAATTCTGATGTACCCTCTTAAGGACGAATGATATTTGAACACTCTTTTAATGAATCTACCGGTGTATCCCAATACTAATACTGTCTGTTAAAGTTACCAGCGATGATGGTACACTCTTGAAGTATTTAGAGCACTGTAGCAAAGTCTTCTTTTGAAGAAAATGGCAGAAAAATTCATCCTTTCTTTTACAGTAGTAGAAAAGAGATTGATATTCAAGGGATGACAGTATTGTCTCCATTCTTTTTAAATATCGTTCATATTGCTTTATTCTACATGCTCTTAATGTGTCGATTGCGGGAGTTGTCGGTCTTTAAACTGTTTCCTGATAGGTAACACAATATTTTCTCGTGAGAAAAATGTTTTTCTGATGGGTTACTGAAAGAAATATTTTATTGTTTATGCCAGCATGATGGCTGACTGCATTAGCATTACCGATCTTAAGATTTAAGGACAACAGGTAAAATGTTGTCTGAAAAAAGAGGTCTGAAACTAGTTTTGATGACGTCGTCGTTTGACATCGTTTTCGTTTTCGCGTGAACTTTGAGTTTTTCAAACATTTGCCAAGAAGAGCAAGACGAGTATTGTTTTGTTTTGGAACGACTAACATCATGACTACATATAAAAAGCGAAAGCAGTATTTGATAGACTCTTATCTCTTTGATGTATTTGCCGAAGAAGAATTTGTATTAGTCTACGCAAATTTTTGTAAAAATCACAAATTTCCATTCAAAGTGTATGAACGATTTCATATTATCTATTCATATATCAACATAAGCAACGTTGAATTTTGCTAGCCCACAGCTGATCTTGAGAACATCGACAAACAGTTTATTATGTACATGCAAACATGTACTTCCTTTAAAATTTCAGTTTGTTGTTTTACAAATAAAGTATTTGAGCCTTTTTATGGTCCCGCTCATTAGTCGCAACATTAAATCTTTCCATCTTTTACTTAGTAGCGAAATTTATATTTTTACTTACATTTTTTGTTGAAGGAAAAAGATGCATGTATGTTACGATTATCCGGTTTATTACAAGATCTTGAGGAACGCTGATTCACACCTAGCCAGCATATACCCTGCATGTTCATCTTTAGACTACTCTGAGAAATGTTGTACTCCCACAGCCCATGAGAGACTTTTATGTGTTTATATGAGTAGAGTTTTTGTGTCAGGGGAATGGCTGTTTGGGATATTGGGATATTATCAACTACTTTAGGTTTTTGGACATCAAAAAATATGTGAAAATCGGGCTTAGCTGTAGTAGATAGTTGTACATTTTTGTGCACTGCTACGTAGTGCACTGCAACTCACATGTGAATGGAAATTTTATGGAAATTTAACTGTTTTTGCTTGAGCCTCCGCAAAAATTCGTGACTTGTTTGTTTAATCGATAGACAGAGTATTCAAACCTTTTGATATTCTACATTGGCTAGTGGTACATCAGGGGCGGATCTAGGATTTTTCAAACATCAGTCATAAAACGTCGGAGGCGCTCCGCAGCTGGGGGGGGTCTGAAGCATTCTCCCCTGAGAAATTTTGAATTTCAGAGCCTTAAAAATGCCATTTTCAGCGTTTTAGAGCAATAGAAAATGTATTTTGTTTGCATCGTTTTTGCGTAAAAACAACACATTTTGCTTACGTTTTTAAAAAAAAATGAAGTGAACAATACTTGAATGTTTTGCCAAATATATGGCTCATTAGCATTTCTAGGAACGTAAAATTTATTTTATAATAATGCTATTCAATAACAGATGTAGTCTTTAAAAATTTCTACCAAGTTGTCAGGCAAAGACCCCCCAAGAGACCCCCATTCAAACCTCTATGTAATGAGTTAAATTAGAAATTTGGTACGACAAGTTAGAGTTCATAGATAGAGAAAAGCTCTGACTTCAAACCATGCAAGTTTATTGTAACCCTTTACCCATCTCCACAACAGTGCCAGAAAATTCACCTTTTGAGAAAAAACTCAAAATTTTCGCTTAATCTTTTTCTGCCAAAGATTAAGCAAAAATTATCAAAGTGAAAATTTGCTGTTAAGGACAGCTTAATGACATAAATGTTTATTAGGCATTTTACTAGACTATTATCTTCTGCAAGGTGTGCTATATAGCAATCACTAGTAGCATTGTATTATCAAATACAAACAGAATGTATTCAACATGTCTTTAATCGGATAATTACATAAATATTAAAATTGGTTCATGTGTCATGCTTACTGGTTATGATAAATATCTTTTCATATGATCAAAGCTCGTTTAAATGTAAATCTGAAATAATTTAGTTTAGAAATTATAATGATCATCAGAAAAATTACCTTGTGATCATGAAAAATACTTTGCTGTTTTGCCAAATTTCAAGGTTTATCTGCATACATAGAAAGACATTTTTACTTTATAGAAAATGCTTTTCATACATCAATAGCCGTTTGGAATTTATGGCAAACAATCTGCTATGAGCCGTAGATTAACACACCTTGACATCTCTACATGAGGTGTTCAGTTAGAAAAGGGGACAATATGTGACATGGGACAACATTTCATGTATGTGAAATACTAAGGTTTAATACCATTCCAGTCAAATTG